AGTAGCTATTCTAGAGCAATATAAGGAATTTCAAAATATCTTTGAAAAAAAAAATGCTGGATATTATTGAAGCATTGACCATATGATTGTGCCTTTGATTTTCAAGAAGGGACTTAACCATGATTTGGCCCCAATCTACAATCTATTACAAAATAAGCTTTTGGCATTGAAGGATTATATTGACAAAAATCTTACAAAGAAATTTATTTGGCATTTCAAATCTCTAGCAAGTGCACCAATATTTTTTATGAAGAAAAAAGATGGATCTTTGTGAATGGATATTTATTATTGGGGCCTCAACAATATAATGGTGAAAAATCATTACCCATTACTATTGATATCAAGGCTTTTGGAGCAACTTAATCAAGCTAAAATCTATATCAAAATAGATCTCTGCAAAGCATATAATTTGGTACAAATTAAAGAAAGAGATGAATGGAAGACATTATTTTCAATAAGCTAGAAACATTTTGAGTATAATATCATGCCTTTTAGATTGACAAATACTCTAATTATATTTCAATATTTGATAAATGATATTTTTTGAGAATTCCTAGATAAGTTTATTATTTGCTATCGTGATGATATCTTAATCTAGTTGAAGACTCAAAATAACATAAAGAACATGTGAGATTAGTCTTGCAAAAGTTATGAGATAGAAGATTATATCAAAATTAGAAAAATGTGTATTTTATCAGCCAAAAGTAGAATCTCTTAGATATATTATATCTAATAAAGGCCTATTGATGGATCTAAAGAAAGTACAAGTTGTAACAAAGTAGGAAATTCAAAAGACAATATAAGATGTACAATATTTCTTTGGATTTTCTAATTTCTATCAGATTTTAATCAAGAATTACTTCCAAGTTGCTGCTCCTCTCACTTCATTGACATTCAAAAATAAGTTGGAATGGAGATCTTAAATACAAAAGACTTTTCAAGATCTAAAGACAACTTTTATTACAACTCTAATTTTACTACATTCAGATTTTACAAAGGTCTTTTATTTGAAAAGTGATGCTTCTGACTTTGCATTAAGAATTGTACTATTACAAATGGATAATGATTGGAAACTCTACCTATTTTAGTTCTATTCTAAAAAGTTTTCAGCTGTAAAGATCAATTATGATATTCAGGATAAAGAGCTTCTTATGATTATAGATTCTTTTCAAATATGAAATTACTTATTAAAAGATGCTACACATCTCATGACTATATATACAAATTGTAAAAATTTAAATTATTTCATGTCAGCTCAGATTTTGAATCACTGCCAAGTTCATTGGAATATGTCATTATTTCATTTTGATTTTATGATTACATATTGACCAAAAAAATAGCAAAGACTATGAGATGCTTTATCAAAGAAATCATATTTTTTTCTAAAGACTGGAAAAGCAAAATTTGATCAACAATATACCACTCTTTTGAAGCCAAAGCAATTTAATCCATATACTATTCCTATGATTACACTTATTGATTTAAGCTTTCTTCAAAAATTTGTGCAATGTCAAGTAAAGACTCAATAGTTTGTAATATCAAGTAATGCCTTTACAATAATAAGTTTAAGTTTATAAAAGATCTTTTGTATTTTGAAGATTACTTATATATTCTAGAAGGACTAATGTAACTTTGTGTTCTTCAATCTTGTTATGAATTTCCAATTACAAGACATTTTGGATTTAACAAAACATTAAAGCTTATTTCTTGAGATTTTTGGTGGCCTTAAATATAAAAGACCATGAAAGACTTTATCTTCTTATGTGACATTTGTTCAAGATTCAAGAATTTTTATCATTCTTAAGGACTTCTACAACCATTAGTAATCTTGAAGCAATTACAGTCTTCAATATCAATAAATTTCATTATTAATCTATTGCTAAATTCGATGCTATTTGTGTTGTTGTAGATCAACTTATAAAGATAGCATATTTTTTTCCATACAAAAAGATAATTTTTAGAGAAGAAATAATAAGGTTCTTTTTTTATAATATATATATTAACATCATGGCCTACTTGATGACATCATTTTTAATCAAGGACCTCAATTTATATCAAAGTTTTGAAAATTATTTTTTGAGATATTGAAGATAGATATTTAACTTTTTTTTATCTTCCACCTTCAAATAAATCGTCAAATAGAACAAGTCAATCAAGTTTTGGAATAGTATTTGCAATATACCATTAACTATCAACAAGATAATTAGACCTTGTATTTATCTTTAGCAAAGTTTGCTTATAATAATATCCTTTATGCTTCGACTCAACAAATACCATTTTATTCCAATTATGATTACCATCCAAAATTTTATTTTTTAGGTATATCAAGATTTTTGATTCTCAATGAAAAAGAAATAAATTGAAATATTTTATTCATTGGCACAACTACAAAATCAATGAGTGTATGTAAAAATTAGCAAAAAAATCTAGTTAATATGCTACATAAAATATAAGAGTTTCATTGATGTTATCTTCAAAAACCTAAATCTATTTTATGATTACTTCTTTATAAAACCATTGCTAGGATGTTCCATATATCAAAGAAAGCAGATATGAAATTGATTCTCCTTATGGAACTTGGAATTAGAAGAGGAAGTGATGTTATGGACATGCAACAAAAAGATTCTAAGAATATTTTTAGAATATTCTATTAAATTTTAGAAGCTTCTAAAAGATTCTAAAAAGATTTTTAGAAGATTTTTAGAAGATTTTTAGAAGGTTCTAGAAAGTTCTTAAAATATTTTGAGAAGTTCTAGAATATTCTAAGAAGATTAAGGAAGTTGTTTGAAAAACTTCATAAGATTGTTTTATCTTCAAGCAACATGGAAACTTCTTGAAAAGCTTCTTAATACTTAGTATATATTGAAGTCAAGGTTGAAGAAATCCTTAGTCTCAACAATACATCTCTTAGAATTTTAGCTCATCTCTCTTGATATTGATCTTTTACTCATTTGATTCGATCAAGTTCTTGTTAGCTTATTCTTGAAACTCTTTTGTTCAACTTCTTGTTTGGTCTCATGTATAGTATATTTGTGACATCAAGTGCTTTTCATCCATTATTTCTTTATTCTATAATTTATTTCTAATCAAATATTTAAATAATTAGATTTTGATATGATATTTTGGTATAATCCATATAAGATGTAAAGTATTACTTTCATTCATACATTGAAATAAAAATATTGTTTAACATTATTTAATCCATCTCATAAAGAATTTTTTTATAAATGTGGTCTAACTTAGTTGTACTTTTTGGAATATCAATTATTTACGATTATAGAGATTTTCAGTATTATATGTTAAAGATTGAATTTTATTTACCAACACCAAATTTGAATCTATTCAATTATTAATTTAAATAATAAATATAAAAAGTCTAAAAGTATATCTGATATTAAAAAATGTAACCTTTTTTCAGATTTAAAAATTAAGTTCATTTCAATATCCAGTATGTTCAAAATAAATTTTTCATTGACAAAATCTAAAATTTGGAATTCAAATAGGTCTGGACTATAAATTGTTATATACTTCTATGACTACATTGAGAATGCATGTTATTTTATGATTTAGATTCAATGTAAATAAAAGAACTTGTAAAATGAACCTTGGTTTTTTTTTAAATAAGAATTATTCATTAATTGATTTTAGGGCAAACTTCCTACTATATCCATGTAAAGAAATTGAAGTTGGTTTCAAGACTCTGACACTGCTTTTAAGGCAAATGCTTAGTATTAAACCTTAATGCAGCAAAAACAAAGTGTAGATGTGATCCTAAGGATGCAAAATTATATTTACATACATACAGCTTGAAAGCAGGGTTTAAATAACGCTTCCCCCCATTTTATGAACCCTTCTTATTTGTAATTATTTAAAATATAAAATATGAAAAAACCTAAAATTATTGGCCAATGCCACTTTCATGTGAAAAAGCTGCAACAGAGCTGCAAGTTCATGTGTATGAGAGACGCTGTACATGGGATTGCAAGTGCTTCTTCAGATTCCACTTGGGTTGGCTATTGAATAATCTCCTGGGTTTTGACCTTGTCCGACAAGTTTGCATTGAAAATGCTGCAGGAGTGTCTTAATACCTACAGGAAGATGAGAGTGGAGTTAATCAACAAGAGTCTGGAGGAGGATGATGCCAAATATAGAAAACCCAATTCATATATGTTACAAAATTCAGCCTATTTCATGGGAGTTTTGTCGACGTTGGACAAATGAGCAGTTGTTTCTTCTAAATTTAGAAAGAATCTCTCAACTCCAAAGTGATTGCAATATGGGGATGCTCTGTGGATTTGGGTTTTTGGAAAGATTGAAATGTTTATTGCAAAGGTGAATAGCAATATGAATATTTCATTTGAATCTTTCCTTTTGTCTAAATTCTAATATGGTTGTAATATGGTTGAAATTTCTTGATTTCATTCACATAGGGCTCACATTAAGATGATTCTTTAATATTTAATTTTACGATACCAAGAGGAATTGTATGAGTGTCTTCATTGTCAAAAAGAAAAAAATCACAAAATCACAGAAGGCCATCTCTTCCAAGTGTCCGTTTTTTAAACACCATGGTGGAAAATCACAAACAAAAATGTTGACATGGTTGCAGCTCTTGGACCACAATTATGATACCAAGAGGAATTCCAATAGATGTTTTCAAAAATATGACCATGTTATTCCTAATTTTAGTGTTAAAAAGCAGATGATAAAAACCAATGATTTGTTGTGAAATTTAGGGTCACAATAAGTGCATGCATGGCAAATCTCCCTCCTCCTAGTGTAGAAAGGACATAGTTCAACTCCCCACAGCCAATGGCTATTCCTTCACAACACAAAATCCACTACAAAGAACTATTAACTTGTTTGTTTGGCTGTTTTATGTATTTTGTATGGTCAGATAGCTGGTTTTTAGGGTTATCTAGTACAGTGGAAAAGCGGTAGTTCAGAGGCGTTTGGTGGTGACGAGAGATATTTGCAGCATTTTGTATGGCTGGTTGGAACACTAGGGCATATTTTCATGTGGATGACTACGGCTCATCTGATGAGCTCAACATGGGCGTTGTTGAGCTCAGCGCCGTCGTCTCGGTTGTAAACCATTGCAAAGTAAGAGGCAATGTAAGAATCGGCCAAGTTGGTAATCATGAGATTTCACGGATGGAGGATGAGAACGATGGGCAGATACCGCTGGATTTGTGCGTTTATTTTGTTTGGGACCGTCTAGATTGGGGGCCGTGTCGATCAGTATTTTCAGCGATAGTATCTCATTCAAAACAGTTTTTTTTCACAAGCAGGGAGTGGGAGAGAGAGTGAGAGTACCTTTACCGCTAACTCTCTTCAACAGCGCCGTTGCTTGCGTGAAGTGGACTCATGCCCTTTGCCTGCCTCGGCGTGGTCCAACGCAAAATCTGTACCGATAGCCGCCGTGTTCTTCCCTGATGTGATCAACCCATCCGTAGTCTGGTCGCGATGTCAAATCGAGTCCTGATAGTAGTGCCATTGACGGTGGCTAGGTTTTCCGCTTGCGAGAGCGGCCGATGCCAGATCACTGGTCTTAAACTTCCAGTGTGTCTATTGTACTCCAGGTTGGTGGGTGGGCCTCAGACTGCCTGTAAACCCTCGCTTTAGACGCTCGCTTTGTGCAGTCATAGTGCCAGTATGCCTTGCACTAGTGCACTCATGGCAGTTGTACGTCATCACAAGTTATGCGATATCTGAGCAAGCCTTCTCTACCTTGCTTTCATTACGTAGCCCGTGATTGATCGACCAGTGAAAGTGACGCAGCAGCAGACGCCAACCCTCACAAACTTCATCAAGTTAGCAGCTTGTAGGAACAAAAACTAGTGGTTAGCACATCAGCACTACGGTTCTCAGATTACGTGAGCTTGCTTGTCCTGAGTGAGAATGGCTTTGTAGATGTCGGTCTGAGACGATATACACGAACTTGGAAAGCAGGTGAGAAGGCTACATAGGTCTTGTACCGTTTGAGTTCATGCCGGGAGTCGCCTTGGTACAGTTTGTTGCTCCGAACGCAGAAACTTTAGTATCGTAGCTCAGGATTGACGATAATGAGCCAACCTTGTTGAGGATGGGTGCTTTTACTCATTTCTGTGCAACTTATAGGATTTGTTACAAGCTCAGTCTACTGCAACAATGGATAGGAATATTGTGAGCATAAAGGGTTGAGTAACCTTGCGGGAGCACAAAAAAATTGTAGCCCTTTGGAGAGACGACCTGTTTACTCGGTAAAACCTTCTTGGCAGACAAGCAACCTCTCCAATCTTCATCGCATTTGGAACTATAGTTCAAGCTTTCAACATACGCCCGCTCTAGTCTTGAGTGTAAGGTGCCGCAATTGGGGGAGACGTTGCGGGCGTCGAAGTTGTCACGACGTGGTGTGCATTTGATGAGGATGCACAATTGGGGTTGATGCGGTTGGTTACACTCATGAACTGACGCATGGGCTAGGATTCGTGAGGAAACTGCAGACCTTTACACTGTTACTAATCTAAGAAACCTAGTTGTCGGTGTTTCTGCAGAATCAAGTTGAAACTTAGGAGTTGTGGTTTGGTTCTCAGGTAATACACAATTGCTCGTGTTTGTAGATTGCGGACCAGAATATCACTACCAAAGATGGTTACTGTTACTGCTTATTCCGGCGGAGTGGTTTTCACGCATGGCCAAACGGGGGTGTAGATAACTCGCCGTCTGCACAATTTCCAGGTTGTGAAGGACGGAGAAGCACAGCCCGGGGATGATGGGGAAGAAGGGCGTCGACTTGCACCCACCAGATGATTTTGTACTAAGACCAGGTTTAGCACGGCGCAGATTGATGGTCCGGCGACCGGAAAACCCATTTGTGGCGCCACACTGGAAGACGGACGGGAGAAAACATTCCGATGCTTATGTCAAGTATGTTTTCCACATGAACCCTCTTCCTTGTAGCCGTTTCTGAAGGTCAGTTTTCAAGTTGGATAAAAAATAGAAATAAAAATAAACTTTGTGTTGCAGTTCAGTGTTTCGTCTGTCTTTTCAGGCGATCAAGTTCATTTCTTAAACCTGAAAGTTTAGGGCACCAATTCCACCGTTAGAAAGCATTACAATTCTACTTTCATCAACGAATGGAGCATTGAGAGTTAACTCAGTGCATGATAGTGTACTGGAACCGACACGGACACTTGCATTAGTAAGATTGAACCATTAAGATGGTCGAGGGTTTTAGTGACACACCTATATCACGGGAAACTCTTACAGTTCGACGGCAGTGATAAGGTTCAGTGCTTCCATCGTCGAACTCATGGCGCCTACGTTGTAATTGATTTAAGTGCTAATCATATGATTGGTGCGATTCCTCGGCCATTACCGCGGGGCTGGATTTTAAGGACTCCCATGAACTGGACCACAGTGCACTGTCACGGTGTAAACTTGGATCGGTAGCGGCGATCTTTCGTTCTAAAGGACACGGTGAAGTGGAATTGAGCTTGTATATTGGCAGATGAATTCTTACGACAATTCAAGACTAATATAGGAACAAAGGAGAACATATCTATTTCGTGTACCTTCACGGGACTAATTTTGCTCAACTTGAGAAAACTTATTGATGAGGTCGTCTTGATTAGGAAAGTTGAGACAACAGTGTTTACAAGAGTTGTGTGTGTCACCTCAGTGAATCATTAGTTGAGAAACAGTCGGTGCTGGGTAATTCGAGGAGTTGGAATAAAGAAATAATTTTGAGCGAGGATACTTTGGCCATTGGTTAGTTTGGAACAATCTTGGGAATTGGGTACCCGTCATCTTTTACAAAAACTCTTCAGTTTTCTGTACAAAGAAGTCCTTCCATGCATATCTTCTGCAATCAGAGAAGCCGATTGCTAACCATTTCTTGCGGATTATGATGCAGGTCTCCAACTATTCAGGATCATCTCACCAATACTCCAATGACGAAATCGCCGAAACCGTTACGTCTCTTCGACTTGAACAAGCTGCCAACTGCACCAACTTGGATCACAGGTAGCACGGATTCTAAACCCCATGCCCTTTCGGACGAGTCTACGGCGATGACTACAAGATCACGTAATTTCATGGAAAACACAGATTTGTTCTTCATCTCGCCACGACAGGAAGTTAGATTAACTGAAGACAAAGATGATGAGCGAGGGGCTAGACTGTCCGTGGACCTGGGCCCTCTCCGAACATCGAGAGCTTCAAAAGATCTCCGGCTCGATGGCAATTGCTGGCTTGAAACTCGTGATGATGGCCATAAAGTCGATATACGGAGTCCCGACTTTCCTGAGAAGCCGTGTCATGCCGATTATGGATTTGCGATCCCAACCTGGAAGAGGCTGAAAAAGTTGACGGAGTGTAAGGGTGGGCACACCCATGTTCAGATGTCCACAGACAATAAAGCTGTTGACAAACAACCATATGTGACGAAGACGTTACCACCATCTCTGCAATGTGAGGCGAAGGAGCACTGGAAAGATGTTTCCGGCGCCATCTGTGCTCTCTTGATGCTGTCGGGCGCGAAGGGGAAGCGAGACCTCTCTAACTTCTTGTCTGACAAATTCTGTGAACCCGAAGTTCGCCAGGACTCCCCCAAGTCCATCCCGAAAAGCTACTCAGAAACCAAGTTGTATGAAGAAGACGCACGACAGTGCAGCGCACCAAGCCCAGCTGGCACTGAATTGACCGGAGATTCGGATGCGAGCGACGGGTCTTGGGGCTCGGCATCAGTGCTTGTAAGACCTAGTAACAAGCATCGTTACAGATCAATGGCAGAGTTAATGGCGGAAACTTAAATCCTTAGACGAGTCTAGGATGTACGAGTGTGTGTTTTTTTAAAAAAAGTGTACAGCTTTCAATCAGTTTACAAAGCATTAAATGTACATAAACGGTAGGCAGCACGAGTGAAACTTTGTTTGACAAAATGTACAGAGGATGCCCGATTGGGAATTTTGACGAATCCCATTGTGTACTTTCGAATCTCCGATGAAGAAGAAAGTTGCAATTTTTCGCACTTCGTGCTTCTTGTGTGCCCATCTGCTTGCGCCGTACTATTTTAGCAACATGGCGTTGTGAGAACAAATTCTACTGAAAATTTGTTATGGTTCGTAGGGATGATTGGACGTGAAAGATCTGCTCTGCACTCTGAAAGGAACTGTCGGGACTGTCTGTCCAAAAGACATGTCCAGCCTTCCAACAATACAACTTTCAATTCTAGAGGCGTAGGAAATACACTTAAAGGTCAGATTGGGATGTTGTGATGGACCTTCTTCCGCCCGTCAACGCTAGTCCACAGTTGCACAGAGCTCTGTCGGTTTCATGCTCACTGCCACGCCGTGGTCTCTTATCATCGGCGTAAGTTCTCGAAACTGGACGATGCCGTGAACCAGCATCCAGAAACATTTGGAATGTGCGCTTGAGAGCAATGGCACAGTTTAAGGCTCTGAACCTCTATCAGTCATGGTACTCATGATAAAATTCACGTTGCAAGCTCAATGGAGTAATGTGGGTGGTGTAATTATCCTCCTCTTGTTGCATGGTGCTGCCGCGGATCACGAGCTACAGACAGTTGAAGTCTTTTGAATAGGCAGAGTGCACAGTAACTAGGGTCAAAGCTCCATAGGGAAGCTATGATCCGGGATTGGTTCGACCATTTTTTAGAGGAATCTCAAAACACTTCCCACGTTGGACTTCGTCACAACCAACTGCAGTATTTGCGCGCAGTGCAGGCGACATTCGTGAAGAGCACTTGTATTTTTGCATGTACTGGACGTTGTGCAGTGCTTTACAAATGGAATTCGTAACCAATCCCCTAGCCTCGTTGTCTCGAAGGTCGCTGTGCACACTCATTGATGAAAATCAAGTTGCTCGTGTGCGCTTTGTAGCTTGGGTACCAGATATGAAAACACAAGTGTGGTCAGACATAGTGTAGAAGTCCACTGAGGAATCTATCCAGTTCTTTTCTTGTTTGCCATGATTAACGTGGGTGACCGGTTTTCTAGTCTACATTGGGGTAAAGAAAGACAAGTCTGTCACCGAACGTTGCACAGCTGGAGCTCCCCAGTTGTATAGATCATGCATATGCAATGTAGCTTCTGACTCGAATAATCGAACGCACCCACCATATTCGACTAGAACTGACTGATACTCAGGGCTCTTTCGTTGGACGATTGACAAACTACATGTTTTCACTCTGTGTAGTCGACTTAACTGCAGTCAGTAAGGCGTGGTAGTCAGTGGTTGTATTGGATAGGTGACTTGGTCCAGCAAACGCACGTAGTGTTCTTCTTAAGCTAAAAGCGTCTTAACTTGTAAGACTTGGGGCTCAAGTATTATGAACGTGTGACATGGACCGACGCGATACCATAATGAAGTGATGGATGTAAATTTCCAGGTTACCCAGAGTTGCGTGCATGGCAAGCAGGCTGAGGTGACCACAAACAACAAAGACTGTATGCTTTCGCAACATTACAGCCGACTGCTTACCATTACCAGACCGATACTAGTGCTCAAAAGTTTATCAACTAACGACGCTTTTAAGACCACCTGGGTGAGTGTCCAAGCAAAGACCATGACAAGTTCCCAAGTTCAATCGCGTAAGGTTGGTTTCCAGATTACCACTCGCATCACGAGCAGTCACTTTGGTGCGTATAAAAGAAAAAATTGACTGTCACGATGGGTTATCGACTTTCAAGGCAGTCTATCAAAATGAGGAATCTCACTATCCTTGGAGGAGACCCTTTTACTGTGGACAGTAACGGGGCATTGACATTTTCATGTCAAGTGAATAGGTATCTATTCTGGTACAGCGATTCATGGTTACTTTTGGAAACAACGAGTTCATGATAATCTTCTAAAACAGAATAAGGCAACAATTTTGTGCAAAGTGTTCAAACAATGTGACGCTTAATGTGATTCCTTGCTTGATATTGTATCAAGTCTACGAGACTGACTCCGTGCGGTAATCGAGTTTCAGACGCTAAGCAGACATGTCTTCACAGACTTGGAGGACCTCAGCTGTCAAGAACAAATCATTAATTCATTTCTCTAAAGGAGAATGCCATCTTGACGATTTGGCGTTTCTGATCGACGTCAACTTTATGGTCAAATATTATATATATATATATATATATGTATTTATTATTTTTATGTCTTTCAATTAAAGTCATTATGACTTTGGTGGTAATTCTTTATTTTATTATATATTCTTTATTTAATAGCTTTAAATTTTAGATTTTATATTTATAATTTAGTAATGGCTAAATTTCTTATTTATATCATAGGTACATCTTATTTTTAATAAAAAAAATTTAAAAATAAGATATAAATTTTTGGATGCAGTTTTAATTTTGAGCTTATATTGAACTATTGAAAATAATTTTTTTTTGATAAAAAAAATTATCAAATATTTATACATAAAAAAATCTAAATTTTTTTTAAAAAATTATAATTTAATTTAAATATATATATATATATATATATATATATATATATATATATTACTTATGCTACCACAAGTTTTCCTATAACTATGAAAATATGCCATCTATCACATGTCATCATAATTTTTGGTATTACTACCAAAACTTATTTGCCTTTACTTTATTTGTTATGGATGTACTATACAAGAAACTTAATAAAAAATTGAACAAAAGTTTTTTAACAAAAAAGTTAACTTCATTAAATTAGATGAAAACAAGAAATCAATATCAAGAAAGATGAGATAGAGCTCTAAAAGATGTGTTGTTAAGATTGAAGATCTTCTTAGTCTTAACTCTAATATATACTAGGTATTAAGAAGCTTCTTAAGAAGTTTTCATATTGCTTGAAGATGAAGCAACCTTAGGAAGCTTCTTAAGAAATTTTCAATTGATAAATCATTGGATTGATTTATTTATGAATACAAAATGGTCCCAGTCTTAAGTAGTCTAACTTATCACAAGGCCAATTGGTCTTGATATTTTGTCAAAAAATGCATACTTTATTTTTAACTTAAAAGGTAGATAATTATTTTTTAAATTCATCAAAAGATGCTTTGTAAGAAACTTATGCTATTTATAAATGAAGTTTCAAAGTTATTTGGAGTAGTGACAATTATTTTGCAAGATCTTTAACTATTAGATTATCATCCTTTGATGTATGTAACAAATCAAGATTTTGATGGTAATCATAATTGGAGTAAAATGATATTTTTAAAATCAAAGCATGAAGGATATTATTATAAGCAAACTCTGTCAAATATAAATACAATGTCTAATCATCTTATTGATAGTTAATGGTATATTATAAATATTACTCAAAAATTTAATTGAATCATTTTGTTTAATTATTTATTTGAAGATGGAAGATAGAAGAAAGTTTAATATCCATCTTCAATATTTCAAAAAAGGATTTCTAAAACTTTGATATAAATTGAAGTCCTTGATCAAAAATGATCTTATCAAATAGACTATAATATTATTATATATTATTAAGAAAAAGTATTTTTTTTTTTTTTTTTTTTTAGGAATTTCTTTTTTACACAAAATAAAATATTTTATCTTTGTAAGTCGATCTATAATAATTTAGATAGCATCAAATATAGCTGATAGTGATAGATTAGTAATAAAATACATTGATATTGAAGACTACGGTAGCTTGGGGATTCGTACTGACTATAGAAGTCTATAGAATGATGTTGAAAATTCTTGGGTCTTGAAAAGATGTCACATGGGAGAATAAAGTCTTTCACCACCTTTCACATTTGAGGCCACCAAAAATCTCAAGAAATAAGCTCCAATGTTTTATTAAATCCAAAATATCTTGTAGTTGGAAATTCATGATAAGATTAAGGAACACAAAGTCATGTCGGTCCTTCTAGAATATATAAACAATCTTTAAAATATAAAATATCTTTCATAAATTTAAACCTATCATTATAAAGGTATTGCTTGATATTACAAACTAATAAGTCTTTAACTGGCATTGTATAATTTTTTAAAAAAAAACTTGAATCAATAAGTATAATTATAGAATTAGCATACATACTAAATTGCTTTGGCTTCAAAAGAGTGATATATTGGTGATTAAATGTTGCTTCTCTAGCCTTTAGAATAAGATATGATCTCTTTATAAAGCATCTGATAGTTTTTTCTACTTTTTTAATGAATATGTAATCACAAAATCAAAACGAGTAAATAATATATTCCAATAAGTTTGGTAGCAATTAAAAATTCAAACTAATATGAAATACTTCAAATTTTTGTGATCTATATATATAGTCATAGAATATGTAGCACCTTCCAATAAGTGATACTATTCTTAGAAAGAATCTATAATTACAAAAAGTTCTTTATTGTGAATTTCATAATTAATCTTTATAATTAAAAACTTTTTAGAATAAAATACAACTAGGTAGAGCTTTCTATCATTACCTATTTGTAATAGTATAGCTCTTAATACAAAGTTAGAAGCATTAATCTTTAAATAGAAGGTCTTTATAAAATCTAAATATAATAAAATTAGAGCTATAATAAAAGTTGTCATCAAAACTTAAAAAATCTTTTATTTTTGAGGTTTTTATTTCAATTTATCTTTGGATGTCAACTGAGTGAGAATAGCAACAACTTTAGAGTAATTTTTGATAAATATCTGATAGAAATTAGCAAATCCAAGGAAACATTATACATCCCATATTGTCTTTTGAATTGCCTACTCTATTATAGCTTATACTTTCTTTAGATTCATCAACAAGTCTTTATTGAATACAATATATACAAAAAATTCTACTTTTGGCTAATAGAATACACATTTTTCCAATTTTGTATATAATTTTGTGTCTTATAATTTTTGTAAGACTAATTTCACATATTCTTTATATTCTTCAAGAATCTTAGATTAAATTAAGATATCATCAAGATAACAAATAATAAATTCGTCTAAGAATTTTTTAAAAATACCATTCATTAAATATTAGAATATAGCTAAAATATTTGCTAATCCAAAAGGTGTGACATTATATTCAAAATTTCCGTACCT